GCCGCCCTTCCTCCTCTCCTCAGCCGCCGCCGGCGGCCTCCTGAGCTGGAGCCTCCTCAGCGCCGAGGATGGGGTCACCGAGGTGCTGGCTCATCACCGCGAGAGCCTGCCGGACAAGTTCTTTGAGGTCCCCTGCTCCGAGGACTACAACAGCCACAGAAGATTTGAAGGTATTTGGGGGGGGTTGTCCGGGGTGGGGGGGAGCAGACTTCAGCGGAGCACAGCAGGCCGCCTGCTCAGTCTGTTAAACCACAGTGTGCTGCAAAACCCCTGCGCTCCCAGTGAACACCTGGTCACTGCCTGCACTGCTTACATCCCCAAACCTGCATGTCTCTTGGGCCAGCCCAGAAGTTGTTGCTTCTGAGAGGTTTTTCTGTTGTTCCTCCAGAGTTCTCTTCTGAAACAGCTTTGCTTAGGGCTGCGTGAAATAAACCTTCTGCTAAATCCGTGTCTAGTGTCTTTTCATACTCTGATGATTCTTGTAATAGGCTCGTGGTGGAGTTTGTTACTGGTAAATACCACAGACAGTGTAGAATGTAACTGGTTTAGGATATTGTCTGTGCCACTAGCATGCAGTAATGGCACAAATGCCAGCTTCCCATAGACTTGTTTTCTTGTTTTGGGGGTGGGGGTGGTGGTGGCAGCTTTTGATGCAGGCTGCAAAGCACTTCTGTCTTTTATGTCTTTAAGCTGAGTCTGTTTTCTGTCAAATTGGCATTTGTCTTCCCTAGCACTTATTTCTTTGGAGTGTTGATGCTTTTAGAGAAACGGAAGATTTTCATCTTCTCTTGATGAAGAGCAGTGAGAGTCTAACTTGCGGTTTATGTGGATGAGCTGTACTGGTCTCCCTTTTCAGATCTGCAGAGTTTGTGTGGATGAATGTTTTGAGCTGGTACTGCTGCTGGAGAGCAGCTCTGCTCTTGCGTTTTGTCAGCCTACCTGTATGTCTAGCTGTGTGTTGGCTGACAAGCTATTGCATCTAAAAAAAACCAATTATGTTTTTAGTAAAAAAATTAGTTTTCAGCTGTCTTATCTGGTTTATGTGGCTGACAAAACACTTGCTGACACAAAGCTGGAGGCAGTGTGGAGGCTGGAAGAAGTTGCTTGGAGCTGAGAAAGACCAAAGACCATCAAAGGGCTGGAGAACCTGCCCTGGGAGGAAAGACTGAAGGAGTTGGGTCCGTTTTTCTGGGAGAAGGCTCAGGGAGGACCACATCACAGTATTCCAGTACATAAAGGGCAGCTGTGGAGAGGGTGGAGGCTCTGCCTTCACAAGAAGACAAGAGCCAGTGGATACAAGTTGTACTGGGCAAGGTTTCGTCTTGGCAGGAGAAAGAATTTTTTTAGAAAGAACATTCAATGACTGGAACAACCTCCCCAGGGATGTAGTGGAGCCTCTATGACTGGAGGCTTTCGAGATGCGATTGGATGGGGATGGGGGGTTGATTAATCTCACCTAGGCTCCCTTTCCCATGAAAGGTTGGACCAGGTGATCTGAGATCCCTTCCAACCTGGGCTGTTCCACGATTCTATGATTTCTAACTTTCTTCTGGTGCCAATCCTGGTAGAAAGTGTTCATGAGACTGCAGCCTGGATATGGTGCCCCAAAGCTGTGGAATTAATTTCCTCTGCCCTCTTCAGGTGGCTGGTTCCGATGCTGTTGGTTGAAAGGCTTCTAACAAAACCTGAAACTTTGTGTAGTCTGTGGTCAGATGGTTTTTCCTCAGTGCTGCTACTGAATCATCTGGTTTGGAGGATTCATCCCAAGTGTTACTGAGGCCAAGAAAACTGCTACCAGCAAGCGAACTTCCTCAGTAGGGGGATTTTTTGGCTGAGCACATGAAAACGTATGTTCTGTTTAAACTTTTTGTAGTTACTACAAGGAGAAACTGCTTCTGGCTTTATTTGTGTAGTGTTGAGGTCGGAGAAAATTGTGCAGCCAGTGTTGCCACAGATTTGGCAGTTGTGACCAAACTAAGGCTAAAACTGTCTGCGTTCTGCTACTAGGGCTTTTGCTTATCAAAAGAAGTCCCCCAAGCCAACACCACCTTATTTTGCCTTCCCTGGTTTGCAGGAGAAAGCTTCTGAGCTGTGGACTTGTGGTCTTGGTGCCCATCAGTTATTCTTTCCATCATAAGCAAGGCAGGAGCTACAAGGCTATCTCTGCCCGGGAAGAGGAATGAATGTGTTCTCTGTTCTTGTGGTGTTGTGGGGAGCGAGCTCTGCAGTCTCCTGCACCTCGCGTGGCTTTGTACGGGAATGATTGACGTGGCTGGCATCAACCCGGGAGGAGCAATGGGGACTCATCCTGTGTGAGTGTGAGTTCCGGCTGTCTAACCGGGTGTTTGCTTGCTGCCGATTCTTATGCCATTGATTTGGGGTTTCAGCAGATGTTTTCACATGCGTGCCCCTCTCTTCTGCTTTCAGGAAGAGATCAATGGCATTAAGAATGTGTGAACATCTGTTCTGTGAAGTGGTCGATGAAGCCGTGCTGGGACAATGCGCTTTGCTCCCGCTCTTTGTCCCGTGTGTCCTGCTCGGTGCCCGCCAGAGGGCGGTGGTGAGCTGCCGAGCCGCCTGCTCCCGGCAGAGCCGAGCTCCTGGCTCCCCCTGGGCGGCACTGGGCGCTGAGCGAGGCTGTAAGTGCGGGTACGGTTCCCAGTCAGACAGGATTCAGCTCCGGAGCTTCAGGAAATAGCTTTCTGTCTCTGCATAGCTGTTCATTCTCTGTCTTTACTCTGGCTTGACATCCACAGCTGCCGGCTCTGTGTCAGAAGGAAGCACATTCCTGTCGTCTCTTGGTGTCTGATGCTCAGCCGCGAGGTTTCCACAGCGAAGAGGAGCTTTTTGTTTGCGCACCTGTCGCTGCTTCAAACTGAACTAGTGCAACTGAGCTGCTAGTTTGCTTCAAGTGATATGGTAGTTGGTGTCACAGAGCAGGAGCTTTATTTCCATAGCACTGCCTGCCAGTAAACCTGCTTTATACAGAAATAAAATGCATTATTTTGCAGAGGCTAAGCACTTAGCTTATTTGCTGAAGATGGGGTGTTCTGTGAGCACAGTCTCAGCTGCGTTCTGAACCCTGCGGCCAGACCTTGGCTTTTTCTACTGTCTTGAGACATGGTTAGCTACTTAAAACTGCTGTGGCTGCTACTGTGTCTGACGAAACTCCTGTATAGTCTCTTAGGCGTGTTGACATACTGTGTCAGTGTACAAAGCATCCATGATCGCTGCCCAGGAGACAGCTTTAAGATTCTTTTGCAGAGACTAGATCAGTGGATGTGGAAAGCAGAGAAGTCTGTAAGCAGTGGAGGAAAAGGTCCAGCACCTAGACTGATGGTGTGGTTATGGGCATGGCATCTGATAAATCTCTGCCTCCTCTTTTCCTGCTTTGAGATGGATTGCATTAGGGGAGCACCGTGATGGGGCTTTTTTCTCTTGAGAATCATCCCGGTCTCGGCAGCGTGTGATTGTTGGCCAATTACCAGTCTAAGTAGAACACAAAGCTGCAGTTTAGGCACTTGGACCCCTATGTTACATTCTCTTTTCTGTGCACTGAAATGGGGCTATAGGGAGTAGGTGTGGTTTTGCATGTTTTGGTGTGTTCCTCT